TTTAATAAAAATTGGTTGTAATTTAAAAAAGTTTTATAAGTAGTATATTTTAATTTTATATAAAAATTTCAAAATACTATATAAATCTATATAAAAATGATTTATATACCCTCTACCCTTAATATACTAGCAAGATTGTTATATAAATTGGTAACAAATGTAAAACTAGAAACAGAATAACAAAAAACAAAAACAATTAAAAAGTTAGAACCAAAAACAGAGATCATGATTTATGACTAGATATAATTTTGAAAAAGACTAAAGATAATTAAAGAAGTACATTGCACTACAAAAAAAAATAGTACAAGAAGATGTATATTTATGAAATGTATGATAGACAAGCTTTTAATCTTAGAAAAATTTAACAAAAAAAGGCTAGATATATACATAACAACAGAATGTTAAGTATATTAAGATAAAATAAAAGAGATACAATTATACTTGGCATTATGAAAGAGACAAACAAATCTCTGAAAATAAATCCAAAAAGTAACTATAAGTTTTTACTTGAATATTATAATTAAATAAAAAAAAGTTTTTTATTACAAAATTATACAAAATACATTAACAAAACAATATATTAATATAGTTAAAACAACAAATTAATTGTTTTTCAATTAGATATAACATATAACCTACAAATGACTTAGTTGAGAAAAGATGTGTTAGATTTGTTAAGTTGGATATTTATGATTATAGGTATTATAATATAACAAATAGTAAAACAAAAAATAATTAGAAGCAAATTTTATAATAAGAGCTAACTAATTATTCATTGGGCTTAAAACCTTTATTATATATAGTTCTATTACATCCGTAACCTATTAATTATAGTTTGCATCTATTCTCCTTATTACTCTTATTACCCTTATACCATTAATATTTTTAGACTTTTATGCTTGGGAAACCTATATTAGAGGGTTGTCTAAAGCCGTGTGCGTTAGAGTTACTTTTTTGATGCATTTAGGGTTACCTTTTTGATGCAATTAGGGTTAATAGTTTATATAGATGTCAAGAAAGTAATTATGCAGAATGTAGATTATTTACAAATTTATACCAAACGCATCTGGCTTTAAACGACCCCCATATTAGGTAGATGATTGACATAGCCGTGAATTACGTTACAGATCATCCCCTTCCACGTAAGTAGCTGCGCAATGTTGTCGCGCGAAACCAGGAACGGGAGAAATCTACGCAGACACCATATTAGTCACGGGAACCATATTTTTCATTGCAATCCGTTCCTGGCATAAGAAAATGTCTTTATAAAAGAAGTTGCAATCTGAATATTGGTTTAAATTTCAATGTCTGACTGCTATATAGTTCCGATGAATCTGACCCAAAATACTGGGGCCCTACAAAAAAAAACACTAAACATATCTACGTATTTAGAAAGGATCGACATATTCTTTCAATTAAGTCTTTGACGATCAGTGATTATCATAGGGATGTTACGGTCCGTCCTGGTCCGGTCTTGGTTCCAAAGACTGGGTCCGAGTAGCGGACTACAGACCAGACCAAAATTCATAAACTGGTCCACGAACCTATCCTAGTTCGGTCCAGTCCAAGGACCGGTCTATCTGCAGCCAATAGGAATGGAGAATTTAGATTATCGTAACACATATATGATAGAGTTTGAAACCGGTTTTATTTTCATATGTTAAACCCAGTTTTAATTGGTTTTACTATATGAAAAATAAAACCGGTTCCAAACTCTAATCTATGAACGTTTTTCATACATTCTTTTGTCAGATCACAAATGTGCAAGTCCTGTACTATACCTATAAGTAATTTTATTATATGTTTACTTAAACATTATACGCGAAAACCAAGGTTCCGATTGAAGAATTGTGCTTACAATGTTATCTAAAGTTTGTTTTGAAAACAAGTTTAATAGCATTTATTTTAGAATGTACTGTACATACGTACATACTATAAAACTTGTTTACGTGATATTAAATGGTTTTAAATTAAGATTACAAAGTTATTACTTAATTGCGATAAATAATTGATTTGACATATACATATCTGATATTAAATATGTATGTACGTACGTATGTACCTTTCTGCAAGTTAAAATTCTTCGCTATTACTGTTATTACGCTATTGCGATATGTTTTCTGCTTCAAGGTTATGATCTTCGAAATAGAATTGCATATATTTACAATTACATAATTATATAATCACAGAATTTATTATGGACCGACCTATTGGGACCAGTCCTAACTTACGGACCACGGACTGCTTAGACCGGTTCAAAAGACTGGTCCGGACCGTGGTCCTTGCCAGACCGTAACATCCCTAGATTATCATGATTATCATTTTATCTGCCCGATAAAAAATTCGATGAAAAAAAATAAAAATTACAAAATATTTAGCATTGAGGACTTTAAATTTACATCGGGTCATTAATTTTTGTGGCAAAAAAATTATTTTTACTACTGTTTATTATTGAATCTTTGATTTTACAGATGTACGTGCTCATTTGTAAGACTAAACCATGAATAAGTCACGCGGACCAATCAATTCCAAGACTTTTCGTACAGAGGCATTCGTTCCTGGTACCTACCTTTTAAAGTATTGTTTGAGGTGCTACACAAGGTCACGATGAAGGATAACCCAATCATATGCTAAGAATCGCACACACAATTTCACTCTTAAGTAAACCATACCCTATGTATTTCATCCACAAATCAGATTTCAATGATCAAAACAAACGTTCATTTTGTTAAAAAATCGCTTATTTTATTCCAAACGCCAACCTTAACGTTAATGAACTTTAAAAAATTTTGCTGCGGCACAATGATGACAGTTTTTTATACATGATGCAGATCATAAGATCAGGCTTAACGTGGGAACCCGAAAGGCAGTTACATATGCGAAATTTTGAGTTATAGGCAAAACGACGAATTTCATGATCGTGTAACGTTACTCCTGATTTTGAAATTCGATTGTGTAAGATGCGATAAATAAATTTACTCTAATGCATGCAACACATTTATTTTCATTGCCATTGAACCACTTAAAAACAAGAGTGATAAGCCCTTCATTACACGACAAAGTCTTGTAAATGCTTAATCTATGGTGCAAATCACTAGTCTAGTTATCAGTTGAGTAATTTAAGGGTTACAATTTCAGAAACCTAATTAATCAAGCAATACTCGGCCGATTTAGTCTTCGAAAATATTTGTTAAAATTTTTTAATTATACTTTTTTAAAATATAATTTCGAAAAAAAGTATTACTTTACAAGAATGCAGGGTAATAGATGTTTTGCATCATAGACAATGATAATATGCAAAAAGAATACTGTATGTAATATAAAATGATAAATAATTAATAGTTATAGTGCTTAAAATCGACCAATCAACTCATGTTCTGCAAATACAACAGTTATGAGGCTCTGTTCATCATAATCCGTAAGAGATCTTCGGCTTGCATATTAATAAAATAATCACAACCACGTGACATAAAATACTTAAAAATGAATAGATAATTAAAACTATATCTATGAAACATAAATAGTCTATCAAAGTATAAACATAAATAATTTTGATTAATTATAATATCTTAACATTACTTAAATGAATAATCATATGTTATTAACTAGATTTTTTTTTTCTTTTTTGAGCATAAACACGTATGTGCGGATTAAAAGATTCTAAATCTATTGTCTCCTTTTCCATTACCTTAACTAAACGGTCATATTCATCACTAGAAGCATTAATTGTATTTATTAGTGTAGGTTTAATATTTACGAGACCAGAGGTGTAATCTTCAGCAAGCTAAATAATAAATATAATATTATTAGTTTTCATAAATTGAGACAAATTTATTATTTTCTTTTATGTTAAAATTTTACCAATTTAAACACTCTGTTAGTATCTAGACCATTCAAGTCTTTCTTTTGTTCACAATGAATATTATAAAGTTGGTTATTTTCTTCCAAATAACTTTGTATTTTATAACATACAGTTGCATTTAATCCACGTTCATGAAGTAGAAGTGAAACTAAAAAATATTATACAGTATAAAGTAAGAATATTGCATTTTAAACAAAAAGATAAACATGAGAAATTATTTAATGCTAATCCTTACGGCCATCAATAAGTATTTTTGATGCAGGACCCATAACGTCATAATGAATATCATTTTCTGCTAACTGGAAAAAATTATTGTAATTTATTTCTTTTCATATCAATGTATTTAAGATAAAATAATGCAACAAACCTCTAGGTAACCACCAGGCTTTAATACGCGAACTAGCTCATTAACTACTGATTGCCATTTATCTGCGGGAATTCCGAGGCATAAGAATCTCTGAAATATAAAATCGAAAGTATTATCATCAAAAGGCAAGCGTTCTAATAAGTTTGCCTGAGTAAATTTAGCATTAGGAGGAATATTTTCTTCAGGTTGAACTGGAGAAATATCAATTCCGATAAACTTAGATTTCGGATAATCAACTGCCATTTCGAGTATCCAAGAACCAGCGCCTGTTCTAAAGTAATAAGTTATGTAATAATAATAACAACAATTAATAATAATAAAAAGAACAATTAATAATAATAATAATAATAAAAAGAATAATTAATAATAATAATATTATAATAATTATACAATTTTAGTAAAATGATAAAATTTAATGTACTTACCCCGAATCAAGAACCATTGTTCCTTCCTGATTAAGGAGATTTTCAACTGGGGAGAAAAAATTACCTTGCCAAATATATCTTTCCATAGCATGCTGTAAATGTAGCCTATCGCATTCTTCGCTATCGTTAGGTACAAAATATACAGCATTTTTTACATTATGATACCTTTTACCATTAGCGAACCGAAATTTGTCGGAATTTTCCGACGAGTTACTAAGTTTTGATATTATTTCTTCAGGCACAGGCTCTGGTTCAGGAAGAGGTTTACCCAATTTTATTTTACCAATACAAATTCCCATAACTTTTGTTAAAAATTATTTTTTTTCAGTAAAAAATGTTGACAGATGTCGGTTTTTATTTGTTACTAGTACGTACTGTACGTAAAAGTATTAATATGCTATAATTTTATTGTGATTACCATATTGAGAAATAGATGTTTATGTAGAATTTTTGCGTAGAATAATTATAAACATAACTTACACTACATTATTTATCTATAGAGCAGTTATTTAAATTACAAGATAATCCGAAATTTACTAATTTGATTATTTAGATTAGTCATAGTTAAATGAATTTGATCATGTATATTGTAACACAAAAAATTATTAATAGTGATTAAAATTCGATACGATACTAATTGGTTTTAATTATCAGGTTGATCTAATTACCCAATTACCTATTTATCTGAATGAATAGATGAATGAATAGACTTTTTAGAAACAAACAATTAAATTAGATATATATCTTAATTGTTCAAGATCATATTAACAATCATTATAGCTCACGCGTTGTGTATGTTACTAGCAAAATATAATAATTAAAAATTGTCATTTTTTGGATAAATATTTATACACATGACATTTTCATGCTATTTTTAAGCCTAAATTAACTTATGCTAAAGAAAATTAATAACGGATTTTTAACTACACGTACTAATATTCTTATAAACGTTCATGTTAATAAAAGATTGCCAATTTAATGTTTTCATATAGGTAATAGTAATAATGGTTTTTGATCTCTCTTTCAAATATATAAAGCATAAAGATTGATTTTTTCGTTTTGCATTACCTATGCTTTTGAATAATAATAATATTTTTATTATTGTTGAAATATTAAATAATTTTTTTTTAGTAAATACTATAAATACTGTACTTGAATACTTGATTGTCTTGGCATTGTTGATTGAAGATTAATGCCTTATTTTTCATACATGCGCAACCATTTGCTAAAACAATTAGTATTGCAATCAACGTGCTAATGTAATCAGTATCCGAGTGCAGTATTCTCAATATTCAAAAGGAATTTTTTTTTATTTGCCATTTTTAACCTTTTTAAAACCGCAGCAATTTATTTTGATACGATCTAGTCGAAAGCTTCTTGAAAAATCACTTCATTTGTTTCTATGTTGTTAGGTTCTTTACTGTATGTAATTCTCACATATATCTTCATATTCTGATTAGGTGATATGAAATGGGTAAGACAAGCATTCTTATTTAATACGTAAGTATTATTATAAACTTACACCGCTGTTTCGGACTATTCTCGGAATATTTTCGGAATATTTTCGGAATATTTTCGGAATATTTCGTATCAATACTTTATCATGTAAGTTGGTCGCTCAAATTTATGATCAAGTGTAATGTAGCACGATCAGAAATGACGCAAAAAAAGTTACTTGCTTTATAAAATTGGTCATATCTCAAATATTTACATATTTACATATATACATAATAAACCAGCTTTATTCTCTAATAAACTTTTGTTCGTGCGAAATTTTATTTCATAATTTCAATTCTCTCGTGACGTCCTAATATCATCGTAAATTTGCACTCTGGATCTTTTAATTCGTTCTTAAATCTAGTATGTGTAACGGTAATAAATTCTCAGGCCAACGAATTCTTCATCTCTGTGTTACCATAGGAAAATAAAAATGTTGCCAAATGTAACATAAACTCTAATGACCAATAGAAAAATCGTTCCTTTGTCTATTATTAATTAAATATGCGTACGTGCGTGTGTGAATTCAGCATAAAGGTTTTTCCATCAAATAATAATTTGTAAGTGTTCAAAAGCAGAAAAATAAAAAAATAAACTGGTTGCAATAAAAAAAGGAATGTGCCTAGCATAAAAGATGCTATACCGATAAATTAAATATCTAAAATAGGGTTAGACCTCTAATCGGAATCGCCCGAGGGTAAGAATTAGGATTATCCGAATATTCTAAACATAAATTTAACCCAATGTATTAAATCAGATATATTTGAATACGAATTTACTACTAATGAACACATGAAAGCTTCGCTAAAACTTCAATTGTAATTTCCTCGAATTTATATTTCATTTTATAATTTTATAATTTTACTACAGTTACTGAAATAATAGACTTGTTATCCGACATGATATAGAGTATCATGAACTCAACTAGAGGTGCAGGTGAAACTTGAATCATTGGATGCGCCTTGTCGAAACTCAGTCATAATAGTTACTACTTGTCGATTAAAAATCCGGCAAATCAAAATTTATTAATTTATCGTAGTTTGCTGTAACTAGTATGTATTGTACATACGTATGTGCATACGAACGTACGTATATACATACAAGATTTTTTACGCTTCTCACAATTTAAAAAAATAGGTATGGAACAGTAAATGAGTGTCATCAAGGAAATGCGTTTTCAATTATATTTTGTGTCGGACACAATCTCTAGCAAGTTAAACAGATTGTGTCCTATACAAAATATAATTGAAAGCCCGATGACAGGTTTTTCCTAACCACTCTAGCGTCGCCCAAAAATCAGTCACGTACCGGAATTTAAAATTAAACATCTGGTACTTAATAACTCAAATAGCAATACTAATGACTTATCGATAAATATATATATATTACAATGAAGCAATATACAAAATTGCATTTTAATTTATTTTCGCTGTACATACATATATTGTATATATGTATATTCTTTTTTTTTATTAACGCTATATCCCGAGAAAAGCATTAAAATCATCTTGAAACACTAATTAAATCAGATCGTCATAACTATTATAAAGGATAAATTAAAAAACGGCATAAAGCATGGTGCCTTTGCAAATTCTATGTTTATCGTTATGCAAATCGATTACCCGAATCGGTGTTATCGAATTACTGTAATGCCGAAACCCCAATACAGATAACACCGAATTCAAAAACTTATTGAATTCAGCCAGTTGTCCAAGAATTTATGAAAATAGCTGTAAGCCGGAATCATAATATATTGTAATTAGAGTACTCATTATAATAAGATTACCATAAATACCCACACTTGTAAGTGCACTTTTCCCCGATGAATGCATTTATGGAAGGCCAACAGTAAAAGATTTTAGTAAAAACCATTAAAAACATATAACTTGTGCTAAAAGGCAGCAATTGCATCATCTAACTTTGACTGAGAATTCCATAATAACCACCAGACCATCGATAAAAATGATTTGATTTTAGTTATATAAGCTTGTCACGTTAAAATAAATTTTTATCAAATTTGATCGGGTAGTCATCGAAAAATTATTGATTAAAATTTTTAAAAACCTTGAAGTTATATTCAGGGACACGGATTTTATGTGATTTAGTGTGATTTGATGTAATTTGGAGCTATCATTTACATAAAATTAATATGTAATAATTAGTAATTATGCGATTTGGTGTAGTTTGTCAAGAATCACACTAAAACAAATCGCGCGTCCCTTATATTTAGGGTTTGGAATGGGTCGGGTGGACCAGTCTTTGCAACCAAACCCGAAAAATATTGTCGCGGATTAACGTGAGAATTGCCCAACTGAAGGCAATCACATGATTTCCTATTTACATCACAAATCCCACCCTAATAATCCTCTCCCTAAAAGTCTCTAAAGCCTTAAATGCACAGCCACAAGTTAAAGACTATCCTAAAAAAAACAAAAAAAAAACTTTGAAAAAAACAACTTCGGAAAAAAAACAACTTTGAAAAAATTTTTTTTTCAAAGATTTAGGAAGGTGAGCATCTCTTTTTTTTCAGTATTTTTTTTTGATATAAAAGATTCTTTTCATTGGACAACATGTACTACCTTTGGATGTTTTAACATAACGGTCTTGTTATTATTCATCAAACCAATTATGGTTTCAGTTTTCATGAAATTGATTTGAAGTTTTCTTTTTCAGATTGTTGGATTCATATTGGTATTAGAAACAATTGCAATCAACTAATCAGATTTATTAGTATTTTTGCAGTAGTGAACAGTTAAATGTTTTTGTATTTATTTTTTGTTTTTCAAGTTGTTTGTTAACTTCATCATGAATTATTAAAACCTTCTTTAAATAGTCTTTTATAATTTGAGGTTTTATTGATGTTTCTTGTACTTCTATGTTCTGAAAACCAATAGAATTAGTAGGATTGAATTATTGATATATACTAAGGAGTTTTTTATAAGCACCATGTTAGGCAGTATTATAGGAAAAATAAATTTTAATAAATAATCAGTTAATCTTTAGTATAGGTAGTAAATATAATTATTATATAATTATAATATATATAAATTAACTATTTTAAATTAATTTAAATAAATTTACTAATAATTAGAGTCAAGGTTAAAGTTTTAATATAACTTAGTTTAAATTTAATAGGTTTTATATATTATAATCCTGTATACATATATACATATGATCTGAAATTTCTAAGAAAAAACATATTATAGTTTTTATTATATAAGTAAATATAAATGGCAAATTACATTAATATTGCATGAGCCATTGTATATTCACTTTTACTAAAGAAGATCCAAATGATCTTTTTAATTAATATTTTGCAATTAAATTTCTTTATTTTATAGTATTTTATAAATAAATATTTATCTATTTGATTTAAATATTTAATTTACTTTTAGTATATTAAATGTCTTAGATAACAATGTTGAATTGTAATTTCAAGTGTTTCATAAATATATTTAGTAACAGTAACAATAAACTCTACTATTATTAGTTTGCAAAATTGATGATGCATTCTATTATAAAAATAAAAAAATCAAAGGTTTACTAATAATATTAGTTTTTTTAATTTAATTAAAATAACTTACAAAAATTTTGAAAAAATACAAACTGTAATAAGAAGTTAAGAAAATCCATTGTTTATATATTTGTATATTATAAAATTAATAAGATTTATTTAAAAATTTTCTAATAAACTATAACTTACAATTAGTATTAGGTCATCTTTTTTTTAATTAAGGTAGTATGATTACAAGTATTACAGTTTTAAATATATTTACAAACTTTTTTTTTGTAATGTCAATATGATATATTATAATTTTTTTATAATAATTCTTTACATTAATTTGATTATTATTATTATAAAATTAGTTAATTAAAGATTAATAAAACTCTAAGTTTCATATTAAAACAAAAACAAATCTAATTGTAATAATCTGTTATATGCTTATTTATAACAACCTGTTATATACTTATTTGTAACAACTCAATTAGTATAACCAATAAAAATAACTAAAACTTCATGCAACCCAAACTCTAACTCTAACTCCTATTGGCTAATCTGAGGTTGTTATATGTAATATGTTGTTTCAAATACATTAATTCTTAAAATAAAATGATAAAGTGTCTGATTTTTAATTTAATCATAAAAATAATTATTTTTAAACTCTACAGTTTATTTTGTATTTAAAGATTTATTGATTTTTTGAGATTATTAACATAGATATAATTCTGTTATAAAGATAGACTATAATCTAATATACTTTAAGTGTTTTAAAAAAATAAATTTTGTAAACTATTGCATAATTTTTTATAAAAAATTTATTTTTTTTTGTATAATTTTTTATAAATAATTTTTTTATTTTATAATTATAGTTATAATTATATAAATAATTATAAAAAATAATATATATATTATAAACTATTTAATCAATAATAATCTTATAGATTTTTGAAACTGTATTATATAAATTGTTAATATTTTATATAATAAAAATTAAGATAACAATAAAATAATAATGATAAAAATTTAAAACTTTTTTCTTTGTATTTTTTTTTATAATGTCAAATTATAAGTTATAATTTATTTAGTTTTTGCATTACTATTTACATATTAAATTATATTAAATTTGTACTACTAGATTATTTTTAGCTTTAAATATCCAACATAACATTACACTTATATTTTCTATATATACTTTTTTTGTAATCTTTATTATATATTTTAATTATTATTAGAAAGGTTATTAAAAATTATACTACCTCTCTATTTGGAATTTTCAAATAGAGCTTCTTATAAAATATATACTTTTTAAATTTATTCATATAATATTATATACTTCTAAAGTTAGTCTTTATATAATTAGAATTACAAAGTTATAACTTTAGATACTTTGTTTAAATTATTAAAATAGGATCATTTTTTAGAATTCTGTTACTAATGAAATTTGTATTCTAAACCTATTGTTTAGAAAATGACAACCTAATTACTATATTAGAACTCAATAATAAAGTTGCTAGACTCAATAATAAGGTTGCTAATTTGAGCTATACTAAAGATCTAAAAACTGTATTAAGATCATAATTAAAGATTATAACTATTGTTATATTATAGAAAATATAGACTGTAAAATTCTTTATTTATAGAATGAGTAAAAGTCTCTTGTGTAATAATAGATAGATCAGTACTCAAAAGAGATGTCAAATTTAACAATTATTATAGGTAAGTATTTCTTTATTAACAATATTATGAGACTTGTTTTTCTTATATTATAAATGCATTACTTATATATTTTTTATACTTTTTTTCTATATACTAATTATACTAATTATACTATATATACTAATTACCCTACTTATACTTTATACACTACATTCACTATATCTACTAATTATGCTAATTATGTTACATCCACTAATTATGCTAATTATGCTATATCAACTAATTATGCTAATTATACTACATCTACTAATTATGTTCTATATATATGCTATATCTAATAATTACTATATATTATTGTTTAATTATACAATTAATTTTTAATAAATTATTAACAATCTTATTTTAGATTGTGATACTGTTTTTATAAATCTGGCAAAAAATTAACTGACTAATTATTTGCTAAGTTAATAAATTTTAATTCAACAATAATAAATATTTAATTCAGATATAATCATATTTGAATCAAATTTATCTAAATATATTAAATTAGCATTAAGAATTAATTTTCAAATTGATTAATATGCTTTTATAAATAAATAAATATTTTTTATTCCATTGTACTAACCTAAAAAAAGAATTTTTTATATCTTTTAATAAAATAACAAGGTGTTTACAAAGACAAAAACTATTTTTAAGAAATGATAAACATAAACAAATCTAATAATCATAAATTATAAAATATTTGTTTATATTAGAACCATTAATTTTTTAGTTAAAAGTTCTTTTACCAAAAAGTTTGAATTTTTTCAATAACAAGAAGATCATATTGATTAATAATTTTGAAATTATTCTAGTAATTATTAATTATAATATATATCCAAATATAGTTGATTAAATTTATATAAAAGTCATGTTTAAGAATTCTTTAATGAAATTTTATAATTATAATTATATAAATAATTGAACCTGTTTTGTATACTAATAATGCCCAAAAATAAAATGTTTTCAATAATACTATTCTAATTATAAATAACTCAAACATGAAATAAATAATATTAATAATAATATTAAAAAATTTCTTTAACAGTTCTTATCAAAACTTTATTTGATATTAATACAAATTTCTTATTTGTAGTTGGAATTAATATATAATAATGATAATGTGTTTTAATATAATATAAAATTTTTTTATAAAGATTCTTCTAAAAAAATTTTTCTAAAATTTATATTTTTGTCTTTATAAGATTACTATATTGGATCAATTACAATATATTATTAATATACAAGAGTAATATTATCCTTTTCTTATATTTTAATAAAAGTTTTTACTTAACTGCATACCATATATATTACTTACAAAGTTAAATTTCTGTATTTTTCCAAATTGACAACTCATTACTTATTTGATTTAAATTCTTATCAGAAAGGATTAACTTTACTTTATTAAAATTATGGTTATACAATAATTTGAACTATATAATAATAGCTATATAAATATCTCACCTTTTTCTATTTTTAATAAAACAGTAAGATATTAAAAATCCTGTTCTATCAATTATAGTTATTACTGTATAAAGTTCATATTTTAATTGATTAGTATTATATATGATATTAACTATAATAGTTTCAAATATCTTATATGACAATTTATTAAAAAATAATATTAAAAAGCATAAGATATATGTTGATGTATTTAATTTAAATACAACTTTATATATTTTTTATTCAAGAACAATTTTGCTAATTCATATTAATCTTTATGTCTTTAATAATATTTTTATACTTTATATGTTTACCAAAAATATATTTGATCAATAGTTAAAGTTTTATATCCACAAACTTTTTAGATATAATTATTTTATAAAACTTAGATGCTCTTTGTATTAAATTTTTATAAATAAATTACTTGATATTTTCTAAAATACAAATATGTTTTGATTTTTGGTAAAGTTGTTTATGATATAACTTTATATTTGCAAGATTATTATTTAAATTAATATCAATAGAGAGTAGATCTTCACATGTATACCATACAAGATATGGTTCTTTGTTTCATTATTTAAATATATTAGTATATTATGAACATTTTGAAGTAAGCTCTTTATGAAAATTATATCAATAATTAAATGACTTCATTTTTTTAGTTTATAAAACAGTTTTTATATGATAAATATAAATATAACCATTCTCTTGTTTGATATACTTAACAATTTTATTTACAAAAAATTTTTATATTGGTTATATAATATGACTAATGAAATTTTTTCAGTAAATATATCTAAATTAATTATCATTTTTATATAAAACTCCCAATCACTTTCTAAACAATCATTAATATTGTTCATATTTATTAGAACCATATGAACAGTATATGTAATATTTTAAATATCAATAGCATTTTCTTTAAGATCAAGTAAGGCAGAAATAGTAATTTCTTTATGTTTTTGCTTTCTACTTTTATTTATTTGTGTCAGACAACTAATGCAAGTTTTGTTTCCTTAAAAATCCTCAAATACTTTATAACTTCAACATAAGTTACAATATTGTAAATCTATTAATGGATTTTTTTGAGTTGATTAATATTAACGTTAAAAAAAGTAAAAGAAAAATAAACTTATTTTACTAAGATTGCATTTTGTAAATATTTATTACAAAATTATTATGCGAACTACAAATTAATATTATTATGCAAGATTATAACCTTCGGAGTTATATTATATCCTGAGCTTTAAACGTAACTGACCTTTGGGGCAATACTTGGTTCATGCTAATCTGGGGTACGACATATACTGTACGTATCGACATTGTGCATAACGATAAGTCTATAAGATCTTGTTTTATTTACAATTATATCTTTATATTATCTATTTTGAAGTAATTTTTCCATGATATATGAATATCTACTATTTAACTCTATCTTATTCGTGTGAGATTTAAAGAATGACACTAAATTTTATATTAATTTCATTTATTCGTATCAATTTAGTGCATAATATAAGATGCGTTTATTATTCAACATTTAAAATAGTATAAATATTACAATTTTATTTGCATTTATTTAAATGTCAACTGAATTATTAAACCATTATTAAATTTATAAACATTTACAACTAAATTCTCTTTGATTCGTGTTAATTTGGTTTGTGATATAAAGATTTATGAATTTAAGGATTTGAGTAAATTATTAAACTCGATTATAAAGAATTTTGTTAGTCAAAGAAGCACCTAAAATAAACAATTAAATTTTATGATTATTTATTATTTGATTTGTATTAATTTAGTCATAATATAAAAAAAAAATTATTAATGCAAGTATATAAAATAAGCTATTAAACTTATTATTTATAAATTCTATTTTTATTTGTATTGATCTAGTAAATTATGTATACCAAATTTTTGTTATTAATATAAGGATTTAAAACAAGCCATTAAATTTAAACTATATTTTATTCATGCAAAATTTAACGCATAAATACCTTAATTACAATAGATCAGACTCTTTACTTATTACAGTCTGGAAATTATATCTGGTCATAACTCATAGGAAGAAATTCGTCTGATTGGCGAATGCAAATTCATTGCACGGGTAACTTGTTTATATATTTTAGAGTATTTTCGAGAATGCACCATTATACGCGTAACCGTTCTTAACAAGCATCGTTTTTAGCTTCAAAGAGGTGAAAGCTAAGTTTAAAAATAATCTCTAATTTCTAATTTAAAAGAGGATTGCTTGACAGTAACGTTTGAACTAGATAAAGACATTTTTATATTTTAAGCTACCAAATAAAAACTGTTTTTAACAAAAATGATTTTTCCTTTTGTTATTAGATTATGAGATCTTAAGTCTGGTTTTTAGACGAGACAAGGTTGTGAATAGAGAGGTTTGAATATAACGTTTAAAATAGATTAGTTCTTGAAATGCATTGAATATTCATTAAAGGTCTGGACTAATGAATAGTGCAATACATAACGTATTTAAATTAGTTAAAGGCGATTATTACTTTATTACGTTGTTATACATTTATAGACACCTTCGTTTTCTCATCGATATCAAAAAAAGCTATGCAATTTAGATCTATGCAATTCGTTCCCAAACCCCTTTAACTTAATCCTAGCTTTAAAGATTTTTGCAACTTTATATCTAGAATCTATTCGATATCCTTTCCTATATTCTTTAGTTCCATCGTATGTGTGTGATTTGAACATTCTTTTCCTTATTTAATACTAAGTATTCTTCTCTACGCCTTTTACATTACTTGCATAATTCAAAGTTTTTTTAAAAAACGTTGAAGAAAAAAATAAACCAACACTGAAATGATTAACGGCCTTAACCATTTAATATATAACATTGTATATGAGCAAAAGGTGTGTACTATTATGAATTATTAACGTTAATAGGTTAATTGTTGCCAATGGTGAAAAACCAAACATTTTAGTAAATTTGTGTACGTGTACGTATACGTACATACCTAATTTTATAAAATGTCACAAAATTACGTAACAAACTTTTACTATTTTTGAAATGCGAATTTTTTTACTAATATTTAAATAAGGTATATGTAATATTTATTTGGAATTCATTGCATATTTTTTTTTAAAAAAAAACTAATTCTGAAAACAAAAACATAGGTCGTTAATTATGAATCCATCCGATGATATTCAAAAGTTACTTGATGAAGAACGCATTAAATTTTACAATTACTCTAATTTTAAGGACGTTAAGTTAGTTGGATGTGGAGGGTTCGGAAATGTATATCGTGCTGTTCTTGAAAATAACGAACTTATTGTAGCATTAAAATCATTTAAAAGTAATAATATGACTATTAAAGAAATTGTCAATGAGGTAAATTGTTTCATCATTAAATTTATTTTTTAAAATTATTATAAATATAAACAATTTGTTGTAAAATGCATGAAGCTTAAATTACATTGCAAAGTGGATATACATTCGAATATTATACGTCTTTATGGTGTTACCAAAAATGAAGGTAGACTTCTTATTTAATTGATTCACATTTGTTTGTATAATAAATTAATATATTCATTTCATCACCAATAGATAATATAATTTTGGATTCTATGCGTTATATGTTTGTTCTTGAATATGCTGATGGTGGCACTTTAAGATCATATTTTCAAAATCACTTTAAACGTCTCAATTGGAATGACAAGCTTGATTTTGCGCTACAAATATCTAAAGCTGTTAAATTTCTACATGCAGAAAATATAGTGCATCGTGATTTGGTAAATTTATAATTTTAAAATGAGAGTCAGTAAAGGAAACCTCAAACCGGTAATTTAAGTATATTATTTATTATTTGCTGTGCTTCAAAATATATAGTAAATTAATCACATATCACGGATCAATCTCGGATTAATCTAACAAATTATAAATAATATACTTAAATTCCCGGTACGAAATTTCCCTTACCAGCACTCAAATGGCCTTTTTTCTTTATTGTTATTTATCAAGCCTAACTACTTTTATACTTTTAATAGCATTCAAATAATATACTCATTCATCAAAAGTGTATTAAACTAACCGATTTTGGTCTTTCAAAAAGGTTGGATGAATTAACAAATTCAAAAAATTGGGGGATTATTGCATATATGGACCCACAAAGTTTCGGTGGTTCAAGAATTGAAAGTCGACAATTTAAATTTACCAAAAAATCTGATGTGTATAGTGTTGGTGTTATTATGTGGGAAATATCTAGTGGATATCCACCTTTTAAGGATGATGTTGAACAACATCAACTTGTACTATTGATTTCAGATATTAAAAATGGTGTTCGGGAAAAAGATATTCAAGGTACTTCACCTGCATATATCAAGATTTATAAAGGTACATAAAGTATATAAAATTGTTTATTTTAAATACGTATAATTTTAGAGGTTAATAGTAATTAATAAATAATAGATTGTTGGCAATATGACCCCGATCTCCGTCCAGACATTCAGCAAGTTGTTTCAAGCCTAGAGAATATAAAAAATCCAGAAAATCTAGAGCCAACTATTGAATCGACGGACAATATTCCTGATACTTTCCCAGATGGTGAATCAATGCAGCCAGGTTTGATTATTTCCGATTCAACAGAAATAAGGATAAGACGTGATTTAGCTATGAAAAGATACGAAGACTCGCTCATAGAATTAAATAAGTCATTAGAAAATGATCAAAATAATATGGATGCACTAATAAAACGTGGAGAAATTTATCTCATGATGGGCAAATATAACGAATCACTAATAGATTTAAATAAATCATTAAATATTGATCTAAACAATGCATTGGCTTTAGACATTCGTGGTGTGGTTTATTACAATATAGGAAAATATAAAGAATCGCTCGCAGATTTAAACAAATCACTGAAAATTGAGCCAGATAATGCGTCAGCATTAAGAAATCGCGGTATAACTTATCGTATGATGAACAGATATCAAGAGTCTTTAATAGATCTAAATGAATCATTAAGAATTGATCCAGATAATGCAGTCGCACTAACCAATCGTGGTGAAACTTATCGCATGATGAATAGATATGCTGAATCACTTGAAGATTTATCAAAATCATTAACCATTGAACCAAACAATGCTGACACCCTAAGAAGACGTGGTGAAACTTATCGTATGATGAACAAGTATGAAGATTCACTTTCAGATTTAAGTAAATCATTAAAAATCGATCCGAATGATGCATCTGCATTAAGAAGACGTGGTGCAACTTATCGCATCTTGGGTAGATACGATGAAGCGCTTGCAGACTTAAATGATTCATTAGTAATTAAACCAAATAATACCTTTGCATTAAGAAATCGTGGTCTAACTTATCGCATGATTGGTAAATGTAAAGAGTCACTTGAAGATTTTAATAAATTATTAGATGCTGATCCAGATAGTGCGTTTGCATTAAAAAATCGGGGTGTAACATATTATCAGTTATGTGAATATGATAAATCGCTTAAAGATTTAAATAAATCTTTAAGCATTACTCCAAATGACGCATTTGCTCTAAGAATCCGTGGTGTTATATATTATCAATTAGATAGATATGAAGAATCACTTGTAGATTTAAGTAAATCTTTAAAAAATAGTGTTGCGCGGCAAATCGGCGAGTCTGTCGCTAATTCTTTCCAATCCTCGTGTAACCTACGGCGGCTAAGTCGAAATA